AGCAATCTTTGTTTTCTTATTTAAATCGTTTCATGCGACGATTCGAAGGTAAGGCTTTTTTTGGCCCTGGTTGCTTTGCCGTTTTTTCCTTTTTGCAGAAGAGTATCTAAAGCTATTTGATAGTGAATATTGTTATTTTCATCAAAGTTATAGATATCCGGCACCAGACAATGTTGTTTTAAGGAATTTCTTTAGCCAAATGATTTTATTGGAAGCTCATATTACCGAAGTTGCCTCTGGATGGCAATCGAGTTTTTCTCTCAGGATAAAAAGGTGCAAGGTATCACCAAACGTTTACAAAGCTATCCAACCGTAAAAACAAAGAAATAGTGCTATTATGGGTACAAAAGGCCATGCCAAATTACGGCGAACCTTTTGCTGGCTCATTGAATGATTTTTACTTCTTACGGAATATGCATACTTTTTAGTGGTAAAAAAAACTAAAAGTCATAATTTTAATTATTGTCGAGTTCTTTTTCTCCATATTTTTTGCCAATGTATCTTTATATCACGATGTTACAGATCTACCAGGTCTAGATAGAATTGACGGATCATTGTTTTTTGATGACATCAGAAAATGATCATTGTGAAAAAACAAAGTTGCAGACTGATTACCTATGGTCGGTCAGACGATTTTTGATTCCGAGTTGATGAGTGTTAGAATAGCTGATGTTTTTCTATTATGTGAAATTATTGAAAAAAAATTGTTCCTTTCTTCTGTAGACAATTCATAACAAGTGTAAATGGTTGCTGTGTAGTAGAACAGATTGTTCCGAACACATTGCTTAAAATATGGTCGGAACATTTCGTTTTTTTTTCAAACGAATGTCGTTTTTTAAGCGTGGTGTATTAAAATGATCTGACGAAAGCCTAGAACTTAGGCATATTGGACAATCTAAGAAAATAAGCAATTTTGGCATAAGTTTTGTCGAAACATGTCGATGAAAAAGTCAAAAGTTTTATTCTCAGGACGGCGCTGAAAAAGCTTCCAAAAATAATTTGACTAAGGTAAAACTAAAACTTCATGGCCTATCCTGCTATTAAAAGTCTGCTCGCTTGCTTTACTCGCTTGAAATTGAACTTAAACTCCAACTTTTTAAACCAGCTTTTGTCAGCATTGGGACAACTTTTTGAAAATTTTGAAATATCGTTCGAATCAGGGCGGAAAGAACTGATATATCACTCCCAACATTCCGATGATCATTTGTGCTAAATTCCTATGGTTGAAAAACAAAATCAGCATGCTGGCTCACTTTATTCATTCGAAATTAGACCAAAAGACAAAAATTTCAAACAGGTTTTTATCAACACTCAGGAAACTTTTTGGAAATTTTTAAATGTCATTTGAATTACAGCTGAAAGGGCTTTAATGTGATATTTCATACGACCCATTCCAATGATTATTCGTAGTACCTGATTTTGAGTGGAAAAAAACAAACACACCTGAAAACAAAATTCCTTCCCATGTTCAATGATCGGAAAACTTATGAAAGATAATCCAACTACGATAGTTTTATTTCAGTTTTGAATATGAGACAATTTAGGATAAATATTGCTCGCTAATTAATCCAATTTAAATTATTGGATAGGCGCTAATCAATCTGGCGTATAAATCCGTCGGTCTGATGTAAAAAGTTGATTTAGAAGCACTTAGCATAGTGGTAAGGCGTTCACTTGGTGTGCGTGGGATTACCTCTAGCTTTATGATTATCAATGTTTTCAAGTTCCTCATTTTGAAATATGTTTTTATAACTTTCTTTGATTCGTGCATTCAAAATTAAATATGTGATTATTTGTACTGTCTATCGCAAATAAAAAAGTGGGTCATTTGGTGGCACTTTTGCTGCATCTGTTGGCATTTTGGTGGCTTTTTTGCATTAAATAGCATCTGTTGTATCCAGGGGCGGATCTAGGATTTTCTCGAGGGGGGGGGGGGGCGGATTTTTAAAAAAATTTCGAAAATTTTGACCTTTTTTTAGGTCGACCAAATTGGATCTTCGAGCTCTCCCAAAGCACGGTTTTTTCCCTATTTTCGCCAAATTGTTTGCGCCGCAGGCAAAATTTTTGGAAAACAGGCCAAAAAAGGCGTTTTTCGGCAGTTTTTGGAAAATTTTGATAAAAAAATCGCGTTTTTTCGGCGCGCGCTCCCCCCTCAAAATTAGTATATATTGGCGCCAAAGGCGCCTTTAGAAAAGTTTTAGGGTCGGTCGGCCAAAAGTGGATTTCTTAAAAAGTATCAAAGGGGGGACCCTTTGGGTCAGCAGGGGGTCGAATCCCTGAGGGGGGAGGGGGCGTCCGCCCCCCCCCCCCCTAAATCCGCCCCTGGTTGTATCTGATATATTGGTGGCTATTGTTGCCAAGCGACTATGGTGCAGATTCGACAACGTGATACTTTTAATTTCCGGACTAGGAGTTCTGTACCGGGACAAGAAGAAAGTTTTTTTTCCCACTAGAAAAAAAAACTTTTTCCTCTTCTTTCACTTTTATACCCAGTGATTTGGGATGAGTAAAAACAGTATTTAAAATAATTTTAGGCTCTGTTGAACAGTATTTTATTTTTTGGCATTGTTGTACTGCTCCGATGAATCATTGTCAGCTATAGTTCCATTTACTCTAGTTCCAGTTACTCTCGTTGTATTAAAGTAAGACATGTGTTTTATGTTAGTTAATAGCTATAGCTCTGCATTTTCTGATCTCTATTAAAAACTAAACCTTTAAATGGTGACGTCCCATTTGTACCAAAATTATTCAACTCGATTTCTGATTGGTCGAATTGTGAGCCAACGAGTTAATACATTAATTTTCTACTGTTCAAACAGAAGAAAACTTAACAGCAGAATAGTGACCGCCGCAGTCGCGCCAACGTGTTGCGAGCTTGCCAACAGAGGGTAGGACTCTATACAAAAATTAGAGCCGGTTATCGCCGCGAAGCGGCGACGCGCGCCTAGCGCGCCCACCGGCGACCTGAAACCAAGAGCTTAAAGTAGTCGGATTAATAGTCTTAGGCCAATTGAATATTTTTGGTACTAACGCGAGTGATTTTTTATTTTGGTACAAATGGGACTGATTTATCATTTTGGTACTTGTGAATGGGTGCCGGACATCAAGCCGACGGGACTTCAAGCCGAATCGTAAAATTAGGGACATCAAGCCGAAAATTTTCTCTCCAAGTCATGAAATATGATTAATTTGAAAAAAAATTTTCGAAGAATTTCTCAATTTCATGATCTTTATTCGGTAATTATTAGCGTTTTTATTAAATTTAAGCCTCCAAATGATGCTTAGGAAAGTTGAAAAATATTACACGGTTGAAGGTAATTTTCTTTTCTATAATTTATGCATTTCAAAAACCGGCTGATATTATTAACGGATGCCAATCCCAAGTGATTCATTGTCATAAATAACGCTTATTATGGAGTAAAATAGCCTATGATTTTGACAAGCAACGTTTTACAGATGAAAAAATAATGATTTGAGGTGCTTGTAAAGTTTAATTTTCGGCCTGAAGTCCCTTCGGCTTGAAGTCCCGTCGGCTTGTTGTCCTAGACCCCTTGTGAATACCCACCCTTTAAATAGTTAAATCTGACATTTACGTCGGTGTTCTGTTAAATTTGCCGTTCATTTTTGGTTTTCGTGTACTTAGTAGACATGCTTTGGTTTTATTGGTTGTAAACAGGGTGGCGTGTCACGGAGCCGAATACCCGGATAGCCGAAAAATAAATTCGTTCCCGGATAGCCGAAAAATAAATTCGTTCCCGGATAGCCGAAATTTTGGATCTACTTAACGATTACCCCCCTACCCATTTCTTATTAATAGGGGGGGGGGATTCGAGATTCGTTACTAAGTACCATAGGGGGCGATAGTAGGTAAAGAGATCCTACAAACCTGCTTAAAAACATTGTTTTATTTTATTTGGGGTACCCCCTATCTCTACCCCCCAACCATACATTTAGTCCCATCTTTCTTCCTTCCCACTCCCTTCCCCTCCTCCCAATTACCCCCACTTTCCCCCGGCAAAAAAATAAACGCGTTAAAAAACCGGACAAATGTTTTTAAAAAACAGGCCAAAACCCCGTTTTTGGGTTTTTTTTTGAAAAAAATTTATCCAAAAAATTGCGATTTTCAGCGCGCGCTCCCATTTCAAGTTAGCATATACTAAATTATTTTAGGGTTTGTCGGCCGAAAATGGATATAATAAAACATACCAAAGAGGGACCCTTTGGTTGGTGAGGGGGGTCGAATCCCTGTTGCAGTCAGACTTTTGTAGTTAATTAATTCAAGGAGAGTAAAAAAAATTAGCCAATCCAATCACTTAAAAATTTTGTAAGCTAACAGGCTGCAAAATTTTGAGGCATTTTCTGTCCAATCAAAATGCGTCTCAAGAGTTTTCTGGTTTAATTTAACTAAAACCGGAGGTATTTAGTTTTTTCGGCTATCCGGGAATGCGGCTCCGTGGGTACGCACCGTAAACAGCTCTGATGAACGTAAAATTTACCATCAAATTGCGTTTTGATTGTCAGATTGGGTTTTCATTATTTTATAAACCGGTTAAACTTACACGCATAGATCGGTTGCGGCCATTTCAAATTAATTAGCCCTTAAGTAATTAACTGCTGTTGATATAAAAGAGCGACATAATGTTGGATGTATTATAACAAAATAACGTAGTGTGGTCTGTCAGTAGACAACTCCTTATTCTTATTCGTCAGTAAGTTGGTGAATACTATTTTTACCAATCAGAATCGATATAAGAAAGCAAACGTACGAAATAAATAATTTATAAAAATTTGTTTCGGATGTTTTTTATCACGATTATAATTGGCTAATATAGTTTTTGTCTACTTACTGACGAGTATGTATACGCGGTTGTCTACTTACTGCTACTTAACCCAATAAAATCGGATTGCTTCATCGCAAGTATACGTTAACAGGCTTTCGCAACCGATATGTCGCTGTAATTCTTGCCAAGATATCTTTACTCAGTTTCACATTGTTTTTCAGAAGCAATGACTTAAATCGACCCAGAGTCTGCTTATTTTACTGTGCATCTCTAATAATGGGTGGATCATACAGTCGGGAACCCCCCGAGAAATTCCTGGACACTCTGACCATCGAAGGCGTAGCCGAGTACATCAAATCGGGAAAGGTGAAATGATACAGAAAGTGTTACTTTTATAAAGCGTTTTCTGCGAATTCATTAGGTAAATCTAAGAAGTTAGCAGCATCACTTTTTAACAGTTTATTTATCTATTGGTTTTTAGCTTAATATTTGTTTTCGAGAATTATGTTAAAGAGTCGATGAACGTAATCAACTCTTGTATAGGTCGTGATGATTTTTTTTTCGTTTTTTTTTTGTTCAGGAAAAGTCTTAACTTCGCTATCGAAAAGCTAGTGTAAAGGTCAGGAAATAAAAAATTTTACCTATTGATCCAGTTTTCTTAAAATGGGTTAGATTTATCAACAAAGTGCCAATCATTAATTGTTCTAGAAATTCAAAGAGCTTTATTAGCATATATTTTTTTCTTAGAATTTCGAAAGTTGAGATTTTTTCTGTTTACTTGCGTTCATTGGCTCTTTTTCAACTGTCCGTTGGCTATGTTTTTGGATAGAAGTTTTTTTTTCAGATTCACACAAAAATTTCGAAACAACTTTAGCGGAAGCAAATTGAAAGAATTGTTGTTTATTCTGTACCAGAAAATATGTAAAAGAAAGTAAATAGTTGAAAATCGTGTGGGCTATTATTTTTTTTTACCAGAAATTAGCTAGTCGAAAGTTGAAGAAAAAGGATTTGGCAGTTTTTGCGTTGGCGATTCATACCAAAAATTGTATCATTTCACCTCTTGTATTTCAAGTGCCAGAACATAGTGACGATGATAGGAGCTGGAATCAGCACTGCAGCTGGAATTCCAGACTTCAGGAGTCCCGGGTCTGGACTCTATAATAATCTGGGAAAATACAATCTGCCTTTTCCACAGGCCATGTTCGAGATACACTATTTCAAGGTAACATGTTACGGTGCTTGTTACAGTCGTGTTTTGACAGGCAAAATCCCCCATCCCCATAAGTTCTAAATACCGAATGAATGTTTTTAAAACGGGCTCTTTTGGCTTTTAATAAACTGATATTTCTTGAAAAACACTCAAATTTCATAAGAGAATGAGTTTGCTCGTATATGCACCAATATTGAGGAGTGCTCGGGAAAAAGAGCGTTTGAAATTTTGTATAAACAGTCAAGTTACTGTTTGCGCTGAGCTCAGAAAACATGCATTTAATGAAGTGCAAACCTTTACAAAATTCTCGATTTTCTTTGAAAGCTCTACTAAGAGACACACTTTAGCCTTAAAATCGTCAATTCTCATCAGTTAACATCTATTTCAAATTTAGTTAGAAAAATTGAAGGAACTTTTAAACAAAGGAATTGTTATCAAGGTTAAATCAATAACATACATGTAAGCGTCTCTCATTCGAGAAGGTGGAATATATCCCTATTTTGTCTTGTAGAGACACCCTGAGCCGTTCTACGACATAGCGAGACAGCTGTTGGACAGGGAATTCAAACCCACCAAAGCGCACATGTTCATCAAGTTACTGGCAGACAAGGGACTGTTGCTGAGGAACTACTCGCAGAATGTGGACTCACTTGAGATGCAAGCCGGTAGAGTTGTGAAGTCTTTATTATGTTGTTGTCTGTTTTTGTAGCCTCGTTGGCTGTTGACAACATTGGGTTCGTTTGTTTCGGTTTAGATTGGTAGTTTCGTCTCGTCCCTTGTCCCGTGTTATTGGCTCCCGACGGGATGTGTAGGGCATGCTACTAGCGTGGAGTACTTGAATGTCGTTTTAACACTATACTCATCTGAATTAACGAGTCTGTGTTAAATTCAGCATTATCATTTTCGGGCGGTGAATTTTTATTTAGTTCCTGTTGATTGAGCGGTGTTGAAGTCACTGGGTCTCCGCCTCTCAAACGAAAGGTTGGATTTTTGAGGCTCAACATGATCTGCGCGCGTTGCTTGAGGAAGTGGCAACATTGCGCAGCCCAAAAAAATAGCCAAAAAATTTGCATGTAATTGTGAAGCAGGGTCGCAACAGCGGTTCTATATGAAGAGCCGACCAGCTTGTCTGTTGGCCAATTCCCTCGTAGAGATAAATCGACTTATGCAGTTGATATTCTTTTCTGATCTGTTGGCGGAGATGGAAAACCACGCATGAATATGCCCATTAATTTGCTATCGTAATATCAAAACACGACCTGTTGGGTATCAAAGATGTTGAGTTTCTGAGCTGATGTTGAGTTTGGTCTGATATTGTTTTTTATGGCGCTCCAGATGCCAAAATATTGTCACTGTAAGGCTTAATGGATCAATACAGGGGCGGATTTAGTGGGGGGGGGGATGTCCCCCTTCAGGGATTTAACCCCCTCACCAACCACAAGGTCCTCCCTTTTGTATTATTTTTGGACATCCATTTTATGCTGAGCAAACCTAAATTTTTTTAAGGCGCATTTGGCGATAATTTATACTAACTTTGAAGAGGAGCGCGAGCCCAAGCCATTTTTTGGTCAACATTTTCCAAAAAGTGTCCAAATAGGGTCTTTAGAGTCTTTACCTAAAAAAACGGTCGTCCAAATTTTTTGAAAATCCGCCCCTTCCTCTCGAGAAAATCCTAGATCCGGCCGACTGGAACCCTTGATAATTATTGCGTGAATAAAGATAGTTGTACGTAGGAAGGGAAAAAAATCAAAGCTATAAGCAGGGTAATCAGGGTCATAGGGAAAGAAAAAGAGGAGGAGGGTAAAGCAAGATAGGAGGTGGGGAATGAAATGACCGTAAAAAAAAGTTTTTTTTTATAGGGCTCTTAAGTTTTACACTGGCACAGTTCTTTAGTCTAGTGGTAAAATGCTTTCTTGGATTTCCGGTAAAGGTGGTTTGAATCCTAGTCAGATTTTTTAAAAAAAATTGTTCATTTTTTTATATAATAATAGTGTAATAATCTATTATCTATTATATATTTAAATGCGGGCTTCACTATCTCGCCATGTTTAAGCTTTTTCAACGTATTATTTTTGCATGTTTAAGCTATATCGTATATTGCATTGGTTAAGATTTTTTTCGATTTTCCAATTTGATTTTAGTGGTTATTTTACCGAATTTAAATTAAGCAGCCCAATATCGAATCTAATCTATTATATATTTAAATGCGGGCTTCACTATCTCGCCATGTTTAAGCTTTTTCAACGTATTATTTTTGCATGTTTAAGCTATATCGTATATTGCATTGGTTAAGATTTTTTTCGATTTTCCAATTTGATTTTAGTGGTTATTTTGCAAAATATGCAAAAGAAAGTGAATAGTTGAAAATCGTGTAGGCTATTATATTTTTTTTACCAGAAATTTGCTAGTCGAAAGTTGAAGAAAAAGGAGCTATTTAGCAGTTTTTGCGTTGGCGATTCATACCAAAAATTGTATCATTTCACCTCTTGTATTTCAAGTGCCAGAACATAGTGACGATGATAGGAGCTGGAATCAGCACTGCAGCTGGAATTCCAGACTTCAGGAGTCCCGGGTCTGGACTCTATAATAATCTGGGAAAATACAATCTGCCTTTTCCACAGGCCATGTTCGAGATACACTATTTCAAGGTAACATGTTACGGTGCTTGTTACAGTCGTGTTTTGACAGGCAAAATCCCCCATCCCCATAAGTTCTAAATACCGAATGAATGTTTCTAAAACGGGCTCTTTTGGCTTTTAATAAACTGATATTTCTTGAAAAACACTCAAATTTCATAAGAGAATGAGTTTGCTCGTGTATGCACCAATATTGAGGAGTGCTCGGGAAAAAGAGCGTTTGAAATTTTGTATAAACAGTCAAGTTACTGTTTGCGCTGAGCTCAGAAAACATGCATTTAATGAAGTGCAAACCTTTACAAAATTCTCGATTTTCTTTGAAAGCTCTACTAAGAGACACACTTTAGCCTTAAAATCGTCAATTCTCATCAGTTAACATCTATTTCAAATTTAGTTAGAAAAATTGAAGGAACTTTTAAACAAAGGAATTGTTATCAAGGTTAAATCAATAACATACGTGTAAGCGTCTCTCATTCGAGAAGGTGGAATATATCCCTATTTTGTCTTGTAGAGACACCCTGAGCCGTTCTACGACATAGCGAGACAGCTGTTGGACAGGGAATTCAAACCCACCAAAGCGCACATGTTCATCAAGTTACTGGCAGACAAGGGACTGTTGCTGAGGAACTACTCGCAGAATGTGGACTCAACTTGAGATGCAAGCCGGTAGAGTTGTGAAGTCTTTATTATGTTGTTGTCTGTTTTTGTAGCCTCGTTGGCTGTTGACAACATTGGGTTCGTTTATTTCGGTTTAGATTGGTAGTTTCGTCTTGTCCCTTGTCCCGTGTTATTGGCTCCCGACGGGATGTGTAGGGCATGCTACTAGCGTGGAGTACTTGAATGTCGTTTTAACACTATACTCATCTGAATTAACGAGTCTGTGTTAAATTCAGCATTATCATTTTCGGGCGGTGAATTTTTATTTAGTTCCTGTTGATTGAGCGGTGTTGAAGTCACTGGGTCTCCGCCTCTCAAACGAAAGGTTGGATTTTTGAGGCTCAACATGATCTGCGCGCGTTGCTTGAGGAAGTGGCAACATTGCGCAGCCCAAAAAAATAGCCAAAAAATTTGCATGTAATTGTGAAGCAGGGTCGCAACAGCGGTTCTATATGAAGAGCCGACCAGCTTGTCTGTTGGCCAATTCCCTCGTAGAGATAAATCGACTTATGCAGTTGATATTCTTTTCTGATCTGTTGGCGGAGATGGAAAACCACGCATGAATATGCCCATTAATTTGCTATCGTAATATCAAAACACGACCTGTTGGGTATCAAAGATGTTGAGTTTCTGAGCTGATGTTGAGTTTGGTCTGATATTGTTTTTTATGGCGCTCCAGATGCCAAAATATTGTCACTGTAAGGCTTAATGGATCAATACAGGGGCGGATTTAGTGGGGGGGGGATGTCCCCCTTCAGGGATTTAACCCCCTCACCAACCACAAGGTCCTCCCTTTTGTATTATTTTTGGACATCCATTTTATGCTGAGCAAACCTAAATTTTTTTAAGGCGCATTTGGCGATAATTTATACTAACTTTGAAGAGGAGCGCGAGCCCAAGCCATTTTTTGGTCAACATTTTCCAAAAAGTGTCCAAATAGGGTCTTTAGAGTCTTTACCTAAAAAAACGGTCGTCCAAATTTTTTGAAAATCCGCCCCTTCCTCTCGAGAAAATCCTAGATCCGGCCGACTGGAACCCTTGATAATTATTGCGTGAATAAAGATAGTTGTACGTAGGAAGGGAAAAAAATCAAAGCTATAAGCAGGGTAATCAGGGTCATAGGGAAAGAAAAAGAGGAAGAGGGTAAAGCAAGATAGGAGGTGGGGAATGAAATGACCGTAAAAAAAAGGTTTTTTTTTATAGGGCTCTTAAATTTTACACTGGCACAGTTCTTTAGTCTAGTGGTAAAATGCTTGCTTGGATTTCCGGTAAAGGTGGTTTGAATCCTAGTCAGATTTTTTTTTAAAAATTGTTCAATTTTTTATATAATAATAGTGTAATAATCTATTATCTATTATATATTTAAATGCGGGCTTCACTATCTCGCCATGTTTAAGCTTTTTCAACGTATTATTTTTGCATGTTTAAGCTATATCGTATATTGCATTGGTTAAGATTTTTTTTCGATTTTCCAATTTGATTTTAGTGGTTATTTTACCGAATTCAAATTAAGCAGCCCAATTTCGAATCTAATCTATTATATATTTAAATGCGGGCTTCACTATCTCGCCATGTTTAAGCTTTTTCAACGTATTATTTTTGCATGTTTAAGCTATATCCTATATTGCATTGGTTAAGATTTTTTTCGATTTTCCAATTTGATTTTAGTGGTTATTTTACCGAATTTAAATTAAGCAGCCCAATATCGAATCTAATCTATTATATATTTAAATGCGGGCTTCACTATCTCGCCATGTTTAAGCTTTTTCAACGTATTATTTTTGCATGGTTAAGCTATATCGTATATTGCATTGGTTAAGATTTTTTTCGATTTTCCAATTTGATTTTAGTGGTTATTTTGCAAAATATGCAAAAGAAAGTGAATAGTTGAAAATCGTGTAGGCTATTATATTTTTTTTACCAGAAATTTGCTAATCGAAAGTTGAAGAAAAAGGAGCTATTTAGCAGTTTTTGCGTTGGCGATTCATACCAAAAATTGTATCATTTCACCTCTTGTATTTCAAGTGCCAGAACATAGTGACGATGATCTATATCAATTTTTTTCGGAAAATTCTGAAATTCCCAACCCTGTAGATGGGTCCTGTCAGATTATTCTCAAAGATTGCGAATCTTGCCTCCAAATATGACTGCTCAATTCTTGGTAGTCTTGGAGATATGACGTTTTTTGTGATTTTTTCAAAAATTTTCAGAAAACATAAATTGTTATGATTTTTTGAAAATCTGAAATTCCCAACCCTTTAGTTGGGTACTGTCAGAGTACTATCAAGGATCGCGAATCTTGCCTCCAAATATGACTGCTCAATTCTTGGTAGGTTTGGAGATATGACGTTTTTTTGTGATTTTTTCAAAAATTTTCAGAAAATTTAAATTATTATGATTTTTTGAAAATCTAAAATTCCCAACCCTGTAGTTGGGTACTGTCAGAGTACTATCAAGGATCGCGAATCTTGCCTCCAAATATGACTGCTCAATTCTTGGTAGTTTTGGAGATATGACGTTTTTTTGTGACTTTTTCAAAAATTTTCAGAAAACTTAAATTATTATGATTTTTTGAAAATCTGAAATTCCCAATCTTGTAGTTGGGTGCTGTCAGAATAATCTCGAAGATTGCGAATCGTGCCTCCGAATATGACTGCTCAATTCTTTGTAGTTTTCGAGATATGACGTTTTTGGTGATTTTTTCAAAAATTTCCAGAAAACTTCAGAAAGTTTAAATTAAGTATTTTTTAAAATTTGGAATTTCCAACGCTATAGTTCGGTGTTGTCAGGGTACTCTAAAGAGTTGTAAATCTTGCCACATGCGACTGCTGAACGCGACTGCTCAAATGCTTTTAGTTTCCGAGATGTCACCTTTTTTGATTCTCAAAGAACTTATCTACAAAGAAATTCAAAAAATATGAAACTAGTAACTTGATGAAGATACAACCTTATTGTCATCGTACACCCAGGCGTCTCAAATCTTGCCTCATAATTTAAATGCTTAATCTTTTTAGTTTCCGAGATAAGACGTCTTTTTCTATTTTTTTTTTTTTTTTTCGGGAAACAGGTTTAAAAAAGTTCACAAAATCTTAGATTCCTAACCCTATAGTAGGGTGCTCTCAGGGAATCTCAGTGTTTGCAATTCTGGCCTCCAAATTTCTCCAGAGGCCCATTAATTTTTCCAGATGACGCTTTTAAAATGGGACTTAAAAAAGTTTAAAAGTTTCAAATTACCAACCCTGTAATTGGCTGCAGTCTGAGTACACTAAAAGTTTGCAGATGTTGTTTCCAATAAATGCGGTTTTTCATGAGCTGTCGAAAAATTTCGAAGCACCGAAGGTGCGTTAAACGCTAGTAATTATTATGATAATCATTAATAACTACTTTCAAAACAATTACTGTTTGAATCTTCTGTTGCTCGGGGTAGACTTAGAGCAGATCAGCTCATCTCGTTATTTACCTTTTCAAGTCGCTCTATCTATTGCTGTAATTTGTTTATTTAGTTATATCAATTTATTTTCACTTGATTGAAATTACTCTTCTTTTTCATCTTCTTGGATCAATATAAACAGTCAAAACTTCCAGTTTAATTAATTATTGGGAGATCATTATGTGCTGAATACAATTTCTATCTGAAAATATTTAAATACATTCTTTAGGTCTTCCAGAACACTTGAACATAGAGGCTCACGGGACGATCAGGACCTCGACCTGCATGAAGTGCAAGGAGAAGTACTCCATGGGTGAAATGAGGAGCAAGCTCATGGACGGGACAGAGAACGTGCCCAGGTGAAGAACAAAAATTCAGCAAAAACTACAGCGACGCTGATTTTTCTTCGGAAAAGTAGGGTCTTCATAGTGTTTTGGGAGAGATCGGATATCAATTTGGTCGACCTAAAAAAGTTCGACGAAGCTATCGAAAATATTTGGAAAATCCTGCTGCCAAGCAACAAAAAATGCTAATTAGGTGGTAGCATTCTACCATAGCATTCTAGAAATGTTCGATGATTTCGTGGATCTTTATTAGATCGACCAAATTGATATTTCGATAAAGCGAAATCCAGTTCTAGCATGCAACTGTCAGTTCTTGCTATGAAAAATTTCTCACATACGCACTTAAACGCTTAAAACATATTTTTTGATCAAGTGTAAGTCAATCAAATACTAATTTAAATTGCGCTGACTTGCCCAGGTGTGAGAAGAAGGAGGGTTGCGAGGGACTGATCAAGCCAGATGTGGTGCTATTTGGGGAATCACTCCCGTCAAATTTCTCCAGACACAGGTGTGTAACGAGCATTTTAAAAGATTTTTTTCCATGTGTTATGCTTTGCCGGCTGTATTTAATAAACATAAGCCTGTTAACTGTGATTTTTTGATCCACTTGTTTTGAGTTGATCCACTACGCATGATTGTATATAATTTGTTGTTTAGTGGTGCAGATATGGGCAAGTGTGACCTGTTGATAATCATGGGCACTTCTCTCCAAGTGGCCCCATTTTGTTCCCTCCCACACTACACCAGGCCATCTTGTCCCAGACTACTCATCAATCTCATGAGGGTCAGTGAGTAGTCTACTTCAGTCTACGACTGAAATTAAATCGCCCACTTGTAAAAACGAGGAGGCATGATGAGGTGTCATATTTCAAGGTGACAAATTGAAATGGTGAAGTGATTAGCGTTCTGAAAGTTTTTTTAACCGTTGTGAAAAGCAAGTGTACTGCCACCGGGTTCTTCCCCTTAGAAAGTTACTCGCAGGACCCAGCTCCTGAGGTCTCACAATTTAAACAGATCTGGCCATCAGACTGATTTGGAGCATTGTTGGCTCTTAAACAAAAAAACGTCGCCAACAGAAATTTTGAAACAAAATAGTAATTCAAGAAAACCGAATTTTGGAAAAGCTGAGGGTTTGAAATTTGCCATTTGGCTAATTTAGGATAATTAACGCGCGAGATAATTCGTATTTTGATCACGGAAGCGGCGATTTTATCCGTCGCAGAAATTGTTTCAAATTGAATTGAGGCAAGCTATGTTGGTTTAATACATAAATAAACGCTAAATACATCATTTTATACTTTACTTTGCACTTGTGGGCAAGGTTTTCAAAAAATCGATGAAAAATGTAAACGAAATTTTATTGTTTTCGACTCAATGGGCCTTTTATCACTTGTTGTCCGCTTAGTGGCAATTCGGTAAAAGTTTATTTAATAATATTGCTTGTGTTTTTTGACTGTTTTCTTCTTTTTTTTTCGATTTTCTTATTTCCGTTTCCTTACTATTTGGTATTTTCCGATTCTGTTCTTCCGTGGTATTGCTAAGATTTTGAGTTGAATGAAAATAACGAGTTGTGAAAAGCTCTACTGCTTCAGCGGTCGCTCCCAAATTTTTTTATGCGCAAAATTTTTTTCGTCGCTATCGGAAATTTCAAATTTAGATTTTTTTTACATTTTTTTCTTGTAAATTTTTCGCCTCTTCTCGCACACTATCCGCCCAAATTTGAGATCTTGGGTTTAATTCGAATAAAGAGTTGTGGGATGCTTCCCCCATAAACGGCTATGCTTATTTTTCACACAAAGAAATATGACTCTAGGAAAAGTCATTTTTTGTTACCGTTTTTTGAGACTATTTGAATTTCTTCGATTACTGAAGTGCCAAATCTGATTTTTAGATTCAATCAAATGACAAGTTGTGTGAATCTTTTCTGCAAAAACGGCCACGCCCCATTTTTTGAACGCAAAAAGCTAGTGTTTTCGGAAAAGTCATAGTATGATGTGTTGCCTTTCAAAAAAAAATCAAGTTTTTTGGAATTTTTTTGACTTTTCTCAAAAACTACCCTGCAAATTCTCAGGTTAATTGTTCACTCGAGATTCCCGGTTCCTGGAATCTTTTCTGGTTAAGCGGCCACATTTTGCTTTAGCGAAAAAAAGTTATGGAAATTGGAAAACAGTGTTTTTGAAACGTTGACCGTTTTTTGAAACTCTGATTTTCTTTATCAAATCTGAGATGATGGCTTCCGTGGAAAGAACAGGTTGTGAATTTTTTTCTTGTTGAAGTGACGACTCCTCATTTTTCGTTTAGAAATGTTATTCTACTTAAAAAAAATCCATCTTCCCACTTATTTTAGTAGAGAAACAACTTTTTGGGCAAAGTCCAAGTTTTGAAATTACCCATTGCATCCTGCATGAGTATGACAAATTCAAAAATAGCAAACACGCAATTCCAGTTTAGCTGGGACCCTAGTTATCTTTTTTCGAGGCATACGAAAGTTTTGGTTCACCTAGTTTTTTTGAATTGCTTTCTTTTTTACCTATGTTTTTTATGTTTGTGTTGTGTCGCAAGTGGTGCGAAGATCTGCTTCGCCTCTTTGTCTATTATCTATCTATTAGATATTCAAATGCGTGCTTCACTATCTCGCCATGTTTAACTTTTTTCAATGTATTATTAAAGTTGAAATTAGCGACCCAAAAGTGGGTTACTGTCAGGGTTACCCTAGGTGTTGCAAGTTGGGCCTCCAAATTTAAGTATTCATATCTTTGTAGTTTACGATATACGACGTTTTTTATGTATTTTTTTTCCAAGAAATTATATAGTTAAGTTTGGCAAAAGTTGAAATTCTCAATATGTATTATTGAGTGCAGTGGTAAACGCTTGATTGAAGCTCCGGAAAAGCGGGTTCGAATCCCAGTGTTCTCTGAGTACTCTAAGGTTGTATACCATGCCTAAAAGTTTGAAATCTCAATCATGTTAGTTACTGAGAGGTGCCGTTTTTTTATGTTTTTTTAAAATTTTTCTAAAATGATACTAAATGGTTTCGCAATGCTCAAGACTATGGCGAGGCCCTGTCAAGGTTTTTTCAGGATGTGTACCTGGACTCCAATTATGGCTGCTGAACGCCTTTTGCTTTCTTAGATATGAATATTTATCTTTTTTAAAAAAATTTCCAAGTTTGAAATTTCAAATAACTATTTTTAAAAACTTGAAATTGTTGCCCCTTTGGTGGGGCGATGTCAGGGATATTGCCAGCGGATGCCTATGCGGCCTCTCATTCCAATATTGTTTTTCTCATTCCAACACGCTAGTTTTTCTTATATGACAGGAACTGTCAAAAAGAACAGGGTTCCTCTAACTTTGTGACAGAATTTGAAACCCTTTTGAAATCATGACTTTTTCATATTAATTGAAATTATTGATCAGGTGGGTCAAGATCCAGACGTTCCTACTGGCTATTTCATCCGCAAAATCATGGGCATCAAAGACCCAGGCTTGGATTTCGACTCACCCGCGGCATACCGCGATGTGTTCGCTCAGACTAAATGTGATGAAGGAGTGGAAAAGTTAGCCAAGTTGCTTGGATGGACAGATGAATTGAATAAATTAACAGAAAATGCCGAGTCTGTTAAATGGGGCGAGTGAAGTTTTCAGCGTCTGGGAAATTTTAAAAATATTCAATGAAGAACTTTTTGATTAAATTAACTTTTTGATTTAATTAAGTTTTTGTCGAAAGTTTATTAAGCATATCTTCATGTTTTTATGTATTTAAATTTTGAAATCAGTATAAAATGTACTTTTTTGACAAAAATTAGATATTCGAAACCTTTAGCTTTATATTCTGGTCACCGACCTGAGTTGGGAATAAACAAAATAATCTAGATTTTCAGTCTACCCCTGCCCCTTCCAAATCAGAAATCAATTTTTTTGGTGCAACCAGTGGTTTCACAAGGCAATGGAGACAACGTGTGTGGCAAATATAAAAATTAGAAATGTCTGATTTTTTTTATCTACCTCCCCCAACCAGATATTTACATCAATCTTATGGTATTTTTCTTGAGTTCTCGAGGTTGTATAGGAAGACAAATTGGTCGTGTAGTTGAATTGCGTTATTACACTAGCGTACTTTAGTGAGCATTAGTGTTATACTATGACTATTCTTTTTTGTAACCTACTTCGCAAATGTTGGTGCCGTTTTTAGGGGCACCTTTACGGCTTTTTGATAGCATCTGATTTGACATTATATTAATAAATTAACACGTTTGATACATTTTAAAGTCATCAAATGAACCGAAAAATGTTATTTGTTTCAAACAACATAACAATCATAAAAACTCGATTTCAGAATTTTCTGACTCAATATATATCACAATTTTTACATATTGTGGCTTTATGCTTTCCAATTTATTACTTGCATAATTGTGTCTATTTGTATTTGGTGCCATTTTTGCTACACTGCATTGGCAATTTTTTAGCATTTGTATCTGCTTTATTTGTGACTAGTGTTTGCCGATTGTCAAGCGTTCGTGGCAGACAGACTCCAATTTTCGAGGTCGCAGGTTCTAAGCCCATACTTCTATCTTTTTAACTCACTTATAAAGCTGCTTGTTGTCGTGTTCTCGCTACTGTTTGTGGCTCCCTTTTTTTCCTCACCCCTCCACCTGCAAAACTTTACAAGTAAAAATTTTGTTCAGATTAATCGATTGTTATGAAAATTCACATACGGACTAATTAGGTTATGACAAACTTATTTGGTCTTCGTAATTAACCTTGTAAAACTACTCGTTGCTCCATAAATTTCATGTTCGTGTCAGGTGGGCGTTGCGGGCGGCCACTTTTCATAACAATTGAAAAATGTGAACAAAAGTTTCGAAAATATAAAATTGCAGGTTGGTGGGGATGGTAGAAGAACAGTTTTAGACTCTTTTTCCTTCCCCCCACCCTACACGAGCATCATTTTTATGGTCTAACGAGTGGTTCTAGAAGATGGATTATTCAGACAAAATATGTTTGCAATGGCCTTATTAGTCTGCATGTCAATTTTGATGACAATCGGACAATGTTAACAGTAATTTTACTTATAAAATTTTGCAGGTGGGGGGAGGAAAAAGAGCCGAGTTTTAATATGGTAAAAATCAATGGCCGGGACATGAGCCTCGGAAGAGCTCCAGGCAATTTTAAATTTTTTTTGCGCTACCCTAATATAGCCCAGCAAATTGTAATCCCCTATAATATTAAACTCACAGCGTGGAGGGCTGTAATTTTCTTGCTTCTGACTGAGGGCCTATAATAAAGCATATAGTGGCTTTTTGCTTTCCAATTTATTACTTGCATAATTGTGTCTATTTGTATTTGGTGCCATTTTTGCTGCACTGCCTTGGCAATTTTTTAGCATATGTATCTGCTTTATTTGTGACTAGTGTTTGCCGATTGTCAAGCGTTCGTGGCAGACAGACTCCAATTTTTGAGGTCGCAGGTTCTAAGCCCATACTTATATCTTTTTAATACACTTATAAAGCTGCTTGTTGTCGTGATCTCGCTACTGTTTGTGGCTCCCTTTTTTTCCTTCCCCCCCCCCCCGCCTGCAAAATTTTACAAGTAAAAGTTTTGTTCAGATTAATTGATTGTTATGAAAATTGACATACGGACTAATTAGGTTATGACAAACGTATTTGGTCTTCGTAATTAACCTTGTAAAATTACTCGTTGCTCCATAAATTTCATGTTCGTGTCAGGCGGGGGGTGGCGGGCGGCCACTTTTCATAAAAATTGAAAAATGTGAACAAAAGTTTCGAAAATAAAAAAATTGCAGGTTGGTGGGGGATGGTAGAAGAGCAGTTTTAGACGCTTTTTCCTTCCCCACCCCCCCCCCCTCCACCCTACACGAACATCAATTTTATGCTCTAACGAGTGGTTCTAGAAGATTGATTATTCAGACGAAATATGTTTGTCATGGCCTTATTAGTCTGCATGTCAATTTTGATGACAATCGGACAATGTTAACAGTAATTTTTTTAATAAAATTTTGCAGTTGGGGGGAGGAAAAAGAGCCGAGTTTTAATATGGTAAAAATCAATGGCCGGGAGATGGGCCTCGGAAGAGCTCCAGGCAATTTTAAATTTTTTTACGCTCCCCTAATATAGCCCAGCAAATTGTAATCCCCTATAATATTAAACTCACAGCGTGGAGGGCTGTAATTTTTTTTGCTTCTGACTGAGGGCTTTTAATGGAATATAGCATTTTTTTGTTACGTCTCTAATTTGCTTTCGAATCAAAAGACGCCGTGAAAAACTGGTTTGATCTTGTCTTTTCAGACTAATTTTCAGTAAGTAACATCACGTGGCTCTTTTTCCTCACACCCCCCCCCCCCCCACACCTGCAATGAGCCCATCGCATGAAATAGCTTACATTTTGGATGAAAATGAAATAGCTTACATTTGCTGTCATTTAAATTTGGTTCAAACAAAATTCGTAAAGGCGCGGCAAAGTTTGACGCTTAACTTCAGATTTCATCTGAAAAGTATTCCCCGGATTTCAACGAGTAAGATCAAGTGAACTGAAAATATAAAGTTTTTGCTTTTCTAATCAATAAAAATTTGCTCATAAGAAAATCACAAAAAGTGCGGCAAGTAATTATAAATTTTTTTTTCTTATTTCAAGTAAAAATCATTATCTGAATAATTTTCTCCAAACAAAAATTGACGTTTCTGTGAACTATGAAACCTACAATAATGGTTTTCATCTGCTTTGTTCTTCTAAATATTGATCAAAGTTCAGCAGAGAAACCTTGTTTCTTAAGCAGCATGTGTCCCAAAGGAAGCGATTGCCAGAAGGGTTGGTGTGTCAAAAGAAGCATGAGGAGGCAGTTCTGTATCAACGGAAACCCAAACTTGTGCATCAAGCGTAATTTTGAACCAATGTAACCAAATATTTAAAAACAATAATTAAATTGGCTCTTTTCCTGTCCCCCTGTCTGATTTTTTCTGAATTTCTTTTTTTTTGAAAGTCTAATCAAAATGATTATTAAATAACCCAGTCAAAAAAGAATATCATGAAAATTGTAATTGAATGTGCATCTTTATTATTTAGTGCATAGCTAGTAACTATAGTCATGAATCAGTACTCACAAAACATGAATAAACTTTTGTGTGAGCATATACATGAATGCATATACGAATGAAAGCCCAATTTTTGTTTTGAAAACAATTGAAAATTAACAAACTGGATGGGCTATAATATAAGTTAAGTATTTGTCACTAGGTTGCAAGGCTACAATAAGAAAAACTTTATTTTTCTGACATTCAAATCAAAAATGCATCAAATTGTTTTTGATATTCCAAACTAGGCTCTTTTCCAACCCTACACCCCCGCAAATGGCATGAATTTCACTTTTGAAGAAGTAATTTTACGTTTTCATAATGTAATGAAATTTTGCATGGTGAGCGAGCTAACTATTGTGAACAATTGAACAAGTTTATACATCAATTTTTCCATGCCATTTGCCATATGAACATTTTTTAAACAACCGTATGTTGTAATTTTAGAGCGGGCGGAAAAATGGAAAAATAACTTGAGATTTCTCTTTTCCACTACCCCCATGTTTGAAATTTAATAATTTTTTAGATGTTTAACTGTTATTACCGCTGAATGCGTGATGTTCCCATAGATAATACGGTGAAAAATCTGTAAACAGTTTTAAGATTGTTCACCATGTCAAGTTTCAATGTATTCTAACTATGTTAAATAAGTTTTTCAAAAACGAAATTAAAAGTAGGGGAGGAGTTGTGGGCGTAAAAAACAGCTTCACGATTGTTATTTTCAGTTCAGTTAAGTTCATTCTGATCATAAAAGCGATTTTTCGTCTCTTTCGATCAGCTCGTGCTGTATTCCTTTTCAATTCTTCGTTTCGAATTTAATGATTCTAGTTTTTCTCCAAAAATTGTCCAGTTCATTTTTGAAATCATTCGTTGTTTTAGAGTTTATGACTTCACTTGGCAGTGCGTTCCAGTCTCTTGCTGCTCGAATTGTAAAGTAATGTTTCCGTATTTCTAGACTGGATCATAGCGGTTGTACCCAATCTTGAACATTTCAATCCTTATTCCTCGTCTTGCGTTATGACAAATCTTTACAAAGTTGAGTTCAAAATGGGGAAGAACAGCCAAAAAGATTTCATAATGGTAGTTTGCATGTAAGAAACATTTTAGCAATTGTTCTTGCTGACACGGTTTATTACAGTTTAGAGCATCAAGAGCAATTTTATATAGACTTTGAAGCTAGTTTTTGGAAAAATCAAAGGTGGGACTGGAAAATTTCAGTTAGTTGAACGTGAGATTACACAAACAGCTCTATTCGTATTTTTGTCCATTAATATGCACTTGTTAAGTTGTTAAAACCAAGTGAATATGCCTTGATGATTTTTGTTTTGGAAAAAAAATGTTCACGCTCAAATTTGTTTTTTCATGGTCGGAATTTTGATATCTTAGTTCATTTCTTTCGATAATTGCGAATAGCAAGTGTGGAGAAGCCGTAAAAACCCCTGCTTTTCCGAAACTTGCTGTTAACAGACCTTCCTTATTGTTGTCAGGCGAATAATTCTTCAAGTGATTTTTGCCCTAGCGATTTATTGTTCCGACTTTCGTAACGAAAGTAGTGGAATTTTTGTGCTCGGGGTGGGTTTTTTTTCTTCAGACAAATTTCGACTTTTTAACTAGCCATTTTTGACTGATTTTTTTTTACATCATTCAAAAGGTATTGTTGTCTTGAGCTTAAATTTGAAGAGATTTTTTACCTGTGATC